TGTGGTATTCCTTGGCTCCCGACTGCCAGGATACCTTTCCCTTCAGAGCTGTAACACTTGCATTAGAGATATCTTCCCCCTCAGAGCTTTAACACTTAGATGGACCACACAGCAAAACCTTGCATTAAATACAAAAACGGGCTGGAGAGTGGTGAAAAGCACTTGCCGTTCTGGCCGAGGACCCAGGTTCAGTTCCCACTACTCACATGGTGGCTCACGACCATCTGTAGTTCTGATTCCAGGGGATCTGACACCCTCTCCTGACCTCCACGGGCAATAAGGTACACCTAGGATGCCCAGATATTGATGTAGGCAAAAGACTCATACTCATAAAATAACTGCAGTAATGGTTGCACATGTATACACATATATGACAACTTACTGAACATATTAAGTAAACACAGTTTATTATTATCTGTTAATCACATATAAAACAACAAAGCTGTTGAAATACACTTAATTACTACATATAAAGATGTTAGGATCTTAATAACACCAAAGGAAGAAATCATCAGCCTGCAGACCAATAAGCATTAAATAAATGATAGTAAAATCTTCTCCTTGGCCCTACCCCACAAAGTCTTACACAACAGTAGCTTTACTAATGAGCTCTATCATTATCTTCTTAATTCATGTGATAAAATTGACATACAGATCCAAACAAGGCAGACATACAGCTTTGGAACCAATATATAATGGCATTGCTGGTATTGCAATCAAGGCATAGCACTCAGCCAGGAAGCCCTCCCACGTGCCTCCCACAATTCCATACTGCTCTCAATGGAGTGTCAATGGTTCTGCCGTTACTCCTGTACCTTTCTTCACGGTTCTAGCTCTCAAACACGTTTCCTCGGCTGCTCCCTCTAGTCTAGTAGAATTGTTTTGCATTTGATGTGTCTTTAGAACCATGACTACCCTGTACTCAGTCCCTTGAGTGTCACCCATGGAAGACTCTGGACTCTGATCTATCTCCTATAGTCTGTGAGTTTTGCTCTAGGTTGTCCTCTGCGTCCTCTATTTCCTACTCATCTACAGTTACGTATCTACAGTTGGACTTAGGTTCAGTTCTTTTGTCAACAAGAGAGCTAATGCTTCATTCTGTCACTGAGAGACAACGTCAGCTGACCTCCTCTTGTGACAGTGCAGCCAGTTGACCCAGAAACTAATTCATTTGGGTTGCAAGTGCAAGTGAGGAAACTGATCAAGATTTTGGAGACTGGGACCAAGGATATAGCTCAGTGGTAGATTTTTTGCCTTGTATGTGTAAGGCTCTGGGTTTGATCTCCACTACTTCAGAGAGGAGGGAGAGAGAGCAAGAGGAGAGAGAGAGAGAATAGTATTAGGAGTTAGTCCATTTTAAAGGTGTTAAAGAAGTTTTTATTATCCTCAATGTGGTAGATTAGAAAATTTGGGCATAGCACATTGTGTCTCCACCCAGCAAGACATTAAACTAGCCAGGCATGGGCCTTTAATCCCACCCCTCAGGAAGCAGGGACAGGCAGATCTCTGTGAGCTCCAGACCAGCCAGGCATACATAGTGAGGTCCTGCCTCCCCCTCCCCCTCCAAAAAAATGAAACAATACAGAAAGAAAAAGAAATCAGATCCATTTCACTGCTATCATTATCTGACCTAGCATTAAGACTTTTGGCTTTTTTGAGATAGATTACCATGAACCCTGGTTGGCCTCCAACTTGCCAACGATGACCTTGAATTTCTGATTCTCCTGCCTGCACTTCCCAAGGGCAAAGATTACACATGCCCACCACTGTGCCCAGTTTTAGGTGGTGTGAGGGATCAAACCCATGGTTTCACACCTGCCAGGCAAACACTCTACCAACCGAGATGCACCTCTGACCAACTGTGACTTATTTTGGATAAACAGAATATGATAGAAACAAAATTGCCTAACTTCTGAAACTAGGCATTGAGAGTCCTGGCAGCTTCTGCCTCCTTCTGCCTGGACCACTGTCCTGAGGTGCTAGAAGGTGAGAGCCCTTTACCAGGAAACAGAGACATCCTTCTCTATACCCTCAGGTAACTATTCACAGGACAAGACTGTCAGGGGTGTCATGGCCCTGGTAGAACTGCCACACAGAAGTGTCACAGACCTGTGCTCCCACTGAGGCAGTGAGAATTGCCCAGTTCACTTGTACAGTAGTGAGATGCACAGTTACATATGGTCATCCACAGGAGTCACGTTTCATACTGTCACATGAGCACGGATCCATTCATTGCTCCTAAGAGAAGGACAGGCTTGGGTCCCGATAAGCTTCTGTTGAAATATTCTCATCAACCAAACATCAAATTCAGCAGCCTGTGTTTGTGTATCTCTGTAATAAGAGGTTGTGTACACTCTGCTAAATGGCTGGATTCATAGCCAGCAGCATTCTAAATATCTGAGGGGAGCTGCTCCAATAGACTCCTTTTTCTCTATGAGGCCCATCGTTTCTTGCCCTTAACAGCCATGGTAGTCAGATTCATCACTGCTATGAACAAAGACCTGAGAGAAACAATTCAAGGTGAGTAATTACTCACGTTGGCTCCCTGTCTTTGAGGGTTCGGCCTAAGACGGTGGGAAAGGCATGGCGGAGCAGCTCATATTGTGGCAGTGTGTAGCAAACACTGGGAACACAGGGAGGAGGAAGGGAAAGATACAGTTCTCAAGGACACGCCCTCCATGACACATCTCCTCCAGCTAGGCCCCATCTTTCCCCACCTCCCAACACCATCATATTATGGACACATTTCTGACCCTCATAATCTAATCATCTCTAGACTTGCTCCTCAGAGATGTACCTAAGATCTGCTTCATCTCCTAGGAATTTATTAATGCAAGTTGTCAATCAAAAGTAACCTTCCCATGCTAAGCAACATTTCAGCAATGTGGTTGGGGCCCTTGAAAACCATAAAATCATCAGCAAAATCTACCAAAAAATGTTAAGAGGAAAAAAATGTGGCAGTAGAGATGGAAGACACTGGTTTACACAGTGATCTGAAAGAAGCAGAGGAAGCAACACGGCAGTCCATCTTTGCTAGGAGCATGGGCACCAGATGCCCCGAATGTCTGCACTGCTCTGTCCACATCTCCAGGGGAATGATGAAGACAGAAGCACACTCATCTACGTGGCCACTGAGGGGGAACTGGTGTATCACAAACACATTAGATCCCTCAGGTCTAGGGAAACGCCTATGGTCCCGTCTTTTGCTGGACGGAGTACAACTTCTCATTAGTACCCGAGTCTTACTGTGATCCCACGAGTCCCTGCGATGATGGAAAACACTAGGCTCCTTTTAGAAATCACCTACTCCACACATGTATATTTCAAGCCATTTTTCCAAGTAGCCTGATTTCATTTTGATGGCAACAAAGTCTGGCCACAGGAAGTGAGCATCGCCTTGTCACTTGTTCTTCGTGACCAGAAACTGTATCTCTGAATGTTCTGTCACCTTTTGTAAAGCATAGTAAGTTCAGTAGACCCAACTACCACTTACCTCTTCCTCTGTATCATGTTGTTTAGAGACAAGGGTTGTACCCAGCCACCATGCCCTGTCACCATGGGGCTCCCCAGCAAGCCCCTTCCTCCCTGTGACCCATATCTTGTGTGTAGCCCTACACTAGTGCCCGAATTATCTAAAGTAATCCACAGATGTTGGCCAGAAAGAGTAAAAATGTGAGCATTGGTGTTTGGTATTCTGTTCCCTCGGGGTGGAACAGAATTCCTATTCCCTATGCCCAGAAATCCCTCCCATATCATAGACCAAAGAACACCCTATTTGGAGTCATAAACTTGTCGGAGCCGGGGATGTGTTCAACAGGAAGCTAAGCCTTTGTGTACTCTGCTGAATCTTTCCCTTCATTAAGGCAACCTGGAAAGGAAAATGAGGACAGAGAAATGGGCTGAGAGAAAGGTGGAGGGCGACAAAGGATCCATGAGAATGCATTTACCCATCCACTCATCCATTCATTCACCAACTGATTCCTGAACTCCTTGCTCTGGCCCAGGAGCTGGAGAACAGAAGATACGCAACAGCTAGAGGGCATCCCTGGCCCAGAGCAACAAAATGTCAACCTGTGGAGACAGAAAGAAACAGACATGGGGCCTCCAAAGTCCGGGGGACTCCGAAGGCACATTACATGCTGATGTCTGGAATATGTGCTGTGGGACTGATGGGCTCAGACCACCCACCAAACTTAAATGGGACAGACAACCTCCTCCAGGTTGTCTGTCTGAATAACTTCCCTTAATAAATGGGGGCCCATTTCTCCTTAGAGTATGTTATAAGCAGTCAAATATTCCAGATAAACAAAACTTCAGAGTTTTGAGACGCATTTATTCAGTTCACATCTGAAATCTAGCCTCTCCAAAACTGCATCAACACAACTTAGGGTGGTCCTGGAAGTGGCTGCTAGGGTACTGAGGAAGAGGGTACCAGACTGGACTGCACCCAGGAGTCTTACGTGACAAAAGTTTTGTACTCACAGATGGATTCCCACTGTGGTGCGGGGGGGAAATGCTGCCACCCACAACTGAGCCAGATGTAGCAGTCCCAGGCCCACAACTCCACGGGAAATGTGCTGTGCTCCCTGTCTCTTTGTGAGTGCTCACAGAACTCACTGGTACGGCAGAGTCTCTGGTAAGAGCTACTAAACCGACTAGGTCTTGTGACCATTCAACACTGATGATGTCTCTCTCCTCTGTGGATGATCTCCAAGGCCTCCGTGAGTTATCTCCCTCCACTTGGCGGGTCAGATAGTCCTCTATCTGGAAATGGTTCACTCTCCTTCACTCCAGGCAAAGTACAGCCCTTATACACTGGTAACTGAGGCCGATGACCGGAGCACCAGGCTAGGACATTTTGCAAGCCCCAAACTCCCTGTCACGCTCCACTGAGGCAATGGATTCCAAGTGGAATTTGAAGAAAGAGCATTGGCAGGGAAAGAAGGTCGGAGGAGAGGCCTAGTGGGGCTCAGAAACAAGAGGGCAGTGGACCGAGGGGATCACAGGGTCACCAGGATGCCCAAGTGAAGTGCCAGGCATATGCTTAAGATGAGGAAGTCTGATGAGTTCCAATACGAAGCTCGACTCAGTTCTCTAATGATCCAGTCTTTGTGGTAACTCACTTCTGTATAGACGCCAGGAAATCCTTTTCGACCACAGCCAATGCCCCAGCTCACGATCCCCACCTGCACCCATGTTTCATTAAATTCACAGATCAAGGGCCCCCCAGAATCTCCCTGGAGAAAGAGAAGAAACAAACAACAGGAATGAAATTGATTGACAGCACAACAGATTCCACCCCAAGGCCCTGGAGGGATTGATACAAACCGAACATGCACCTGCTGGTCCTAAATTTCTATGAGATTTTGGAATTAATTTTTTTTTTTTTAACAAATGAACGGTTCTTTTTTTTTTTTTTTTTTTTTTTTTGGTTTTTCGAGACAGGGTTTCTCTGTAGTTTTGTGCCTTTCCTGGAACTCACTTTGTAGACCAGGCTGGCCTCGAACTCACAGAGATCCTCCTGCCTCTGCCTCCCGAGTGCTGGGATTAAAGGCGTGCGCCACCACCGCCCGGCTTAACGGTTCTTTTAAAAGAGGTTAAGTGGGGCCTGGAGAGATGGCTCAGAGGTTAAAAGCACTGGCAGCTCTTTCCAGAGGTCCTGAATTCAATTCCCAGCACCCACATGGTAGCTCACATCCATCTCTAGTGTGATCTGATGCCCTCTTCTGGTAAAAAGGCATGCATGAAGACAGAGCACTCATATACATAAAATAAATAAATAAATCTTTTTTAAAAAAGAGGATAACTGAATATAAACCAACATAATGTTTCTTTTCTGAAATAATGAGTAAATCACTTACCCCAAGTGCGTGGAATCTCACTCAGAAGGGGCTGAAAACACCGAATTTGAATTATTGTCTCTCTGACTCACTCCCCCACCCCCAGCCACTGCTGTTTCCTCCTGGAAGATCCTTTCAAACTAGCCCAGGAGCTGTGCCGGCTTGCTCTGACAATCCGTTAGCTTCAATAACAGTACATGGAGGGTCAGGGGCACAGTCCAGGTCTGAATGTCTGGGAATTAGGAAGTTCTGAGGAGAGGCTAGCAGGGCAGAGCAGCAAGGGACTCATGAACTGACCTGGCAGGAATCTCCTCCTCTCTCACTGTAGCCACAGATGCTCCCTTCTTGGACTTGGGTAAATAGTTTTCCTGTGCTTTCTCTGAGAATCTGATCACATTGCTCATGACGAATAATGCTTAGCTCAACCTCCCGAAGCTGTCTTGATGCTCTACCTACAGGGAGATCATTTTGGAGAGAGCAGATCTCCATTAAGTAGGAATGACAGGAGTCAGTTGTACCTCCTCTGGGTCTCAATACCGTGTTCACACATGGGCACCCCCAAAGGCATCGGCTGTTATTCACATATGACACCAAAGGAAATGGGAGTATAAGACAATGGAAAGTCCAAACCAAGGAAGTCGAAGAAAGGACAGCCCAAGTGAGGGCAAAATCTTGTCAGCCTGGGAGGTGACAACAAGCATGTGATATGTTCTCGCTAACACTAGTGACAGTGTCCTATGCACCAGGAGAGCATCTTGCTAGGACACAATCACAAACTCTCAGACAGGTAGTCCGCTAAAGTACCAAACTACACTCTTCCCAGTAATAGGAGACCCTAGAGTAGTGGTTCTCAACCTTCCTGATGCTATGACCCTTTAATCCAGTTCCTCATGTTGTGGTGACCCCCAACCATAACATTATTTTCATTGCTATTTCATAACTGTAATTTTGCTACTGTTATGAATCATAATGTAAATATATGTGTTTTCCCATGGTCTTAGACGACCCCTGTGAAAGAGTCATTCGATCCCCAAAAGGGTCGCAACCTATAGTTTGAGAACTGCTGCCCTACAGTGCCCTCACTGAGTTTCCTGGCCTCTCCTCACATACGAGAAGCTCCCTACTACCAAGATAGGTACTTCTAGCTTACAAACAGGTCATCTTACCCTGAACTAGAATCCACTCTGGTGAGTATCCGCCATGTTTGGTACCTAAGTCCTCAAGCCCTAGCAAACCAGTAGAAATCCACCAATAGTTGCTCCCTCACAGCATCTTCTCTCTTCCCCTCCCTTATCCACCTGCTAGAAGCTCTAGCTCCCTGCCCCTCCCTTTAGCTTGTAGGCCGATCCCAGTCTACGAAGCAGTCTGCTCCCTGGTCTATAGTTGCTGAGGTCTTCGTTTAGGCTCACCTCTTTCAAATGTTCTGCCCCATCCGGTCACCCAGCACTGGGTCCCAGCTTGTACCAAGAAAGCCCTGTCAGGGAGGCAGACAGGCTGGATGGAGACAGTGTAGTTCACAGGGAAGGCCAGCAGAGCAAGGGCAATGTCATTCACAATGGATCCCATAACAGAGTAATCTTGGTGAATAATGATGTCTTGGACAGGAATGTTGACTGCATTTTTGGACGACAGGTTAATCTCTCCCATCGATACTACATAATTCAGATGGCTGCAAAGAGATCCTGAAGGGTCTACACACTTCCTCTCCACAAGTCGCCCCAGCCCAGTCCCATCCTCCTGAGACAGTCACCAGCTCCTCCCTCTGTTCTAACCATGTTCCCTCCAGGACACCTAACCACCCCATCCAGCCACCAGTCGGTTCTCCAAGTGTGGTCTCTGCTCAGCGTCACCTGGGATTATGTTAGAAATCCAAATGTTCAGATGTCGACCGAAACTGAACTTTAAAAACAACAACAAAACCTACAACTGTCATCTCCCACCCACGCCCTATAGTTTTAGGTGGGTTCTCTCTCATTCTGTGGCCCAGGCTGGCCTGGAACTCACTATGTAGACCAAGTTGGCCTCTAACTCCTGGCAATCCTCCTGCTTTAGTCTTCTAAGTGTTGGGATTACAGGCGTGAACCACCACCGGCCCCTTTTTTTCCAAATAGAAAGCAAGAGGGATAGGCCATAGAACCTGGTTAGGAGCCCAAGCCCAGCTCCCCGGGCACTCACCCATACACACAGTGGGCTGCAGTCATCACCCACCATTTGCTGATGAGGGAGCCGCCGCAGATGTGATAGTTCTCCACCTGCAAGCTCACCTGCCAGGGCCACTTCCTCTCTTCGGCAGGCTTTCCGCCAACTATCCTTGAACTTCTGCGGCCACAACCTGGAGCAGGTTGGTGAAGGGAGGAGGGGCTGAGGGTAAGGCTGTTGCTGCTCCACCACCAGCCAGATCCTTAGAACGTGCAGAACAAGCCCCACCCTCCCCCACTCCTACCCCCACCCCCGTCCCCGAAAATAACCCCAGGGCAGGTGTGGATCCCTAAGACTCATCAGGGTCAGAGCCCAACCCCACACCCAAGGACCCAAGATCCTCCTGTACGTCAGGGTCCCATCCACGTAGGTCCAGGCTAGTTCTCTGCGGCAAACCATGGCCCAGAAACTTCACCTGCAGTGGTTGGAATCCATGTTGGAAACCGTTCCTGTGACAGAGTTATGGTTGAAAAAGAGTGATCGGGAGTAAATGCCACTGAGTTAGGGGACATCACGCCCCCCGCAGGCTGGGGGGCCTGCGAGGTCTCAGGCATCCCTGTGAGGGGCTTCTCCCGGGGGCGTGCACCCAGGCCATCGAGGCCATCCTCCAAGGGGAGAGGAGCAAGAGACAGCGTCCCTGGAACCATCCGGGCCTCGCCCAATTGCGTCTGAAGCAGCAAGAACCTGGCCAAGAGGCCCAGGGAGGCACTGCCTGGTAAGGCCATACCACCACGAAGGCCTCGGCCTCTATCTCTGAGCCTCGTCATGGCAGTTACCGAGGCTGCGCACAGTTCTGGGAGGAACCAGTTCCATCACGTGGCTGCTTTCAGGCCTGACTTTGGCGCATCATCCCCTTCCCAGCTGACCCACGGGACAGGGCGTGACCCAGATAGAGTGGCTAGCCTGGGCCCCTGGCCGTAGAGAGCCCCTGCTTAGGAGCCCCCAATTCACGTAGAAGCATCCATGATGCAAGGATGCACAACGGAGCTTCTCGGGCTTGACCAGGCCTTTCCCCAAATCTCCCTTCCCTGGTGATCTATAATCAAAAGTAAAACTCCTGAGCAGAAATGTTGCACCTAATGTTACTAACCATTGCATCAGGGTAGACGCTACTACCTTTTTGAAAAGTCAACGCCCACAAGACCCACTAGCCATATCAGCACAACACAAATTAAAACCACAATGAGACATCAGGACAAGTTTATCGGGCTTTCAAAAACAAACCCGTAACAACCTCAAATGCTGACAGTGGTACAGAGATAAGGCTGTCCACGCACTGTGGTGGAAATGTAAGTACAACTACTCTGGAAAGCACACTGGCTGTTTATTATACAATAAAAAATGCAATTACCATACACTTCATTACTTATATTCCTGGATATTTATCCCAAAGAAATAAGGATTTATGTTCTATTAACCCGTATAAACGCTTATAGTATTAATATCTTTGTTCATCAAAATCAACAGCTGAAAATAACACAGCAGTAAAACTCTTTGCCTTCCCCACAACATACATGTTCTAATCCCTGGAACTTATGAGCATGTTACTTTACTCGGCCCCTAGCAAGTGGAATGGATTAAATTAAGGCTCTTGACACAAGAAGGTTATCTGAGCTATCTAGGTGGGCCCACTGTAATCACAAGCTTTTTTATTTATCAACAAGACAGTTGAAATCAAGAGAAGAGATGTCAGGAAGGGGATGGGAGGGGAGAAGTTGTTAATTCTTCACTGTGGTCTTTAAAGGCTGAGGAAGGGGTCACAAATCTAGGGATGAAGGCAGCCTCTAGAAACTGGAGCCAGAAAGCAAATAAATCCCCCCACCCCCTCAGGCCGGGCGGTGGGGCACGCCTTTAACCCCAGCACTCAGGAGGCAGAGGCAGGTGGATCTCTGTGAGTTCGAGGCCAGCCTGAGCTACAAAGTGAGTTCCAGGAAAGGCGCAAAGCTACACAGAGAAACCCTGTCTCGAAAAACCAAAAAAAAAAAAAAAAAAAAAAAAAAAAAAAAAAAAATTCCCCTCTTGCCAAGTGGTGGCGCACACCTTTGACCCCAGCATTCAGCAGGCAGAGGCAGGCGATCTCTGAGTTCAAGGCTAGCCTGGTCTACAGGGCAAATTCCAGGGCAGCCAGGGCTATTACACAGAGAAACCTTAACTCAAAAAAACAAAAACAAAACAAAACAAAATTCTCCTCCTCTGTCTCCAGAAGGAAACAAGTCAGCTAACTTTGGTTTTAGCACCTGTGACCTCCGAATTGCAAACTACAGTTGGGTTGTTTCAAGCCACTAAATTGGTGGTAATTTGTTCCAGCTATAAAAAGAAATCACTGCAAATCCAGATATCCTTCAGTGAGTGAACAGATGGACAGCCTTACGTTCATACTGTTAAACCTGAGAACAGTGAGGAGAAAACACCACATCCACAGCTGTCCAATTAAAGCAAGCTGTATTTTGGGGCGTGCCTGGGACTGGCCAGCCAGATGTCTCACCCTAAATTGGGATTTGAGAGACGAGGCCTTGCGGGCCTCTTGAGGTCTCTTGTGTAGGAGAGATAAGGTGTTGAGAGGGACGAGAGAGTTTGCTGTTATACACTGTTAGAAAGAGACACTGAAAGGGAAGGACCAAAGGTAAGGGACTACGTCACGGGGATGGGTGGAAAGTTTCGTGTAGGTTGAAAAACATGTTTTGCAGTTCACATCAGATCTAAGAAACAGGAACTCATTCTCCTCCCCCCCTCTTTTTTGGGGTGTCTGTTTGTTTTTTGTTCATTTGTTTGCTTCTCTGTGTAGCCCTGGCTGTCCTAGAACTTGATCTGTAGAGCAGATTGGCCTCAGACTCACAGAGATCAGCCTGCCTCTGCCTCCTGAATGCTGGGATTAAAGGCATGAGCCACCAGGCTCAAGAACTTAATTACAAATAGAAATCTTAACTTGCAAGGACTTCTCAGGACAAATAGGAACTTATTCTTTAACTATAAGCAGAACCCTAACCTGCAAACTACATTGTTTGTGTTCTGGCTTCCCACTAACTTGCAGGTACATTGTTCCTGCTCTGGTCTCACAGTACCACAAAGCGTTACTGAGCAACTGGAATGAACTGGTGAGGAGAAGGAAGAGCTGAGAGGGAGACAGATGAGAGAAATGGAAGTTTGATCTAATCACAATACATCATATAAATCAATGTATGAAATTATCAAAAACAAATTTAAAATATGCATTCTAGTCCAGTTCCATGGGGGCTCCTCCGCCGTTGGTTCACAGTTCGTGGGCTTCCACTAGTTTGGCTATTTGTCCCTGTGCTTCCTCCAACCACGGTCTCAACATCTCTTGCTCATACAATCCCTCCTCTCTCTCGCTGATTGGACTCCCAGAGCTCCACCTGGGGCTTGGCCGTGGATCTCTGCATCCGCTTCCATCAGACACTGGATGAGAGTTCTATCAGGACAGCCAGGGTGTTCGGCCATCCAATCACCAGAGCAGGTCAGCTCAGGCACTCTCTCGACCATTGCCAGTAGTCTACAGTGGAGGTATCTTTGTGGATTCCTGGGGAACCTCTCTAGCACTCTGCTTCTTCCTATTCCCCTGGGGTCTTCATTCATCATGGTGTCTCCCTGTCCATTCTCCCACTCTGCTCCTGATCTAGCTGGAACCTCCCTCTCCCCTAAGCTCTCTTTCCCCCGACGCTTGCCCTCCATTATCCCACCCACCCACCCCCAGTTCGCTCATGTAGATCTCATCTATTTCTCTCTGGATAAGTGAGACAGTTGATTAGCTTGAACTGTTTGGGAGGCCCCCAGGCAGTGGAGCCAGGACCTGTCCTTGGTGCATGGGCTGGCTTTTTGGAGCCTGGGGCCTATGCTGGGACACTTTGTTCAGTCTTGGTGTAGGGAGGAGGGGACTGGACCTGCCTCGGCTGAGTCTGCCAGGCTGAGCTGACTCCCCAGGGGAGACCTTGCCTTGGAGGAGGTGGGAGTGGGGGGTGGATTGGGGGGGAGGGCTGGAGGGTGGGAGGAGGGAGGACTGGGGAATCTGTGGCTGATATGTGAAATTAAGCAAGTTATAAAATAAAAATACTATAAAAAAGAAAGAAAGGAAGGAAGGAAGGAAGGAAGGAAGGAAGAAAGAAAGAAAGAAAGAAAGAAAGAAAGAAAGAAAGAAAGAAAGAAAGAAAGAAAGGCATAAATTTCTAAGACGATCAGAATATGGCCAAACTCATATAATCAAAATTTATACTTTTCTCCATGTTACTTACAGTTCACTACCAAAACAGAATTGTGGGATTCTATGGTTTTCTTTCTCAATATTATTTTTCTTTGATGCTGTTTTATTTGGTAATTGTATTCTAAAGCTTTAGATTTCATCAAATAACTACTATACAGAAAGAAACAAATAAAAATATTAAAAATAATAAAATAAAATATGCATTCTGAAGTTTTTCCTCTGCTAATTCATATTGCTAATACTTCTAATGTTTTGCTGACTAATCTCTCACTTGTCCAAAATTTCCTGCTTTTTCACGATTCCCAAAAATATCAAATGACTACTGAATACTGTGAACATCATCACATTGCTGACTACCTGGTGAATTGTCCTTTAAGAATGTTGAAATCTAGCAGACACCTGGACTCTCAGATCTACTTAAGGTGATTTTTTCTTTGTGTGACCTGTGCCTGGATACCAGCAGTTAAGTTTTGTACAGTCTCTCCTGACTGCCGGGTGACTAAGCAGGGCATCCTCCCTGTTTGGATGTTGCCCATGACTGTGTGACCTCTAAGAATTGTTCAATTTCTAGTAGCCTGGCATCCATGTTATCTAGCATCCTAGAAATGCCTGTGAAGATCAGCATTCAGCCACAGATTAAGAGGGATCACTATACAAATTTTTGTAACTGTTTCTCTGCCTATTTATAACCTGTGATCCTTGAATCAACAACCTCTCAGAACAGAGAGATTTTAGTTAATATTTAGACTTTGCAGGCCACACGTAATCCCAACTGTGTTCTTTTCTAAAAGATAACCTTCTAGGGGTTGGGGAGATGGTTAAGCACTTGCCATACAAGTGTGAGGAGCTGAGCTCAATCCCCAAAATCCATATAAAAAAAACACAGATACTTCAGCGTTTGCCTACAATCCCAAAACTTCAGAGGTAGAGATAGGAGGACCTCTCAGGATTGCTGGCTAGCCAATCTAGCCAAATTGGTGAGCTCCAAGTTCAGAGAGAGATCCTGTCTCAAAACACAAAGTGGAGAGTGATTGAAGAAAACATCCAACATTGACTTCTGGCCAGTGTGCATGTGTGCCCAAGTGCATAGACACAAATACATATACACTAAAAATAAAATATGGCCCTTTAAAAATGTATAAGTCAAGCCAGATGGTGGTGCACACATTTAATACCAGCACTCAGGAGGTAGAGGCAGGCAGGTCTCTGAGTTCAAGGCCAGCCTGGTCTACAGAGCAAATTGCAGGACAGCCAGGATTGTTACACAGAGAAACCCTGTCTCGAAAAAAACACACAAAAAATTATAAATGAAGCTAGATATGATGACACATGCCTATAACACCAGCACTTGGAAGATGGAAGCAAAGAGATTAGAAGTTCAAGGCTATCCTTGGATACATAGCAAGTTGAAGGCCATGTGAGACCTTTTCCTAAAACAAAACAAAAGTGTAAATATAATTCTTACCGTAAGCCTATGCAGAATCAGTCAATTTACTTTCCTTTCTTCCTTTTTCATTTTGAAACAGGTTCTCAACTCACCCCTAACTCCACCTCCCAAGTGCCCAGACTGTGGACACATACCAATAGGCTGTCTTTGAAAAACAAAAACAGTAGGTGCCATGTTGGGCAGTGAAGGTGGCAAAAAGAAGCCCTTGAAACAGCCCAAGAAGGCGGCCAAGGAGATGCACAAGGAAGACGAGGCTTTCAAGCAGAAACAGAAAGAGGAGCAGAAGAAACCCGAGGAGCTAAAAGCCCAGGCCGCAGGCAAGGGACCCCTGGCCACAGGTGGAATTAAGAAATCTGGCAAAAAGTAAGCTGTTTCTCATATCTGAGATGATGGTGACCCTCTTCCATTCCTGTTTAAACATCTGGATTCCCTGCCATAACATCTTTGCCACCTACAGCTAGAATGAAGTGTTACCCTGGAGCCTGTTAAACATCTGGATTCCCTACTATAACATCTTTGCCATCTATAGTTAGAATGAAGTGTTGCCCTAGAGCCTGTTGTACATGGTAATAAACTTTTGTAAAAAAAAAAAAAAAAAAAAAAATTATAGGGGTTGGGGATTTAGCTCAGTGGTAGAGCACTTGCCTAGCAAGCGCAAGGCCCTGGGTTCGGTCCTCAGCTCCGGGTGGGCAGAGGGGAGCCCAGAGATGCCCACAGCCCTGTATTGTTTGGCTTTATCCTAGGAGCATGTATCCTTTCACACACTTGACTTGAAAGATTTCTATGCAGCTATAAAAGATTATTGCTCAAAGAAGAGACTGGGCTGTGGAAAGAAATTATAATAATAAATAATCCAATGGCTCATTGTCTCTAGTGTTCAGCAATTCCTACTTCAGCCGTGAATTTAAAGTAAACTCAGTCCGAAACCCTACCAGAGCTGTTTCATCTTTGTTGTACTCTGAATTCTGTGTCACTTTGAATTAATTAAACCAACTCATTAAAAAAATAAAAAACACAAACAAACAAAGCCCCTTATTTACGTGTGTGTGTGTGTGTGTGTGTGTGTGTGCGCGCGCGCACGCGTGTCTTTGGGTATGTGAGGTGCACATCTGTGGAGGTCAGAGGACAACTTGCAGGAGTCAGTTCTCTCCTTCCACCACAGGTTCCCAGGGATCAAACCACGTAGTCAGGCTTGGCAGCATACACCTTGACCTGCTGAGCCATCTCACTGGCCCAGCCTATGTCCTGAAATGCAGAGGAGCCACAATCTGCCAACGCTCAGGTCTCCAGTATCAACCTGAAACCATCAGGCCTCTAGCCATCTTCAGCTCCAATCTCCCACTACTTATGATATCGCCCTCTTCTATTGGATTTTCCCTGTGCCATCTGAAAACTGCCCATTCATAGAAAGCCAACGTTACCCTAAGACTTACTCGCTTGTTTCTCTTCTTTCCCAGAGTGCAGTCCTCTGATGTCTGAAAATGTATTTATTTTATGCTGTCTACTTTTTTCTTTTATGTTTTATGTGTATGAATGTTTTCCCTGCAAGTATGTATATATACCACATGCATGTCTAGACCCAGAGGAGGTCAGACAAGGGCATCAGATGCCCTGGAACTGGGGCTACAGATGGTCATGAGCCTCCATGTGGGTGCTGGGAATGAACCTGGGTCCTCTGGAAGAGCAGCCAGTGCTCTTAATGGTTGAGCCATCTCTCCAGTCCATTCTTTTTTTTTTTCTTTTTTCTTTGTTTAGAGACTGGGTGTAGGGGGAGTATTGAGACAGAAATCTTTATGTGACCCTGGCTGGCCTGGAACTTGCTCTGTAGACCAGGCTGGCCTTGAACTCACAAAGATTCACATGCCTCTGCCTTCCAAGTGCTGAGATTAAAGGTGTGCCACTATGCTAGGCTTCCTTTTCTTTTTTTAAAGACAGCATCTCACTAAAAAGTTCAGGCTGGAGCTGGAGAGATGACTGAGCAGTTAGGAGGACTGACTGCTCTTCCAGAGGACCGGCATTCAATTCCTGGGACCCATTTGACAGCTCATAACTGTCTGTAACTCCAGTTACAGGGGACCAGACACCCATGGAAAACACCAAAGCACATATATAGACATATATACACACATACATATATATACACACATACACACACACATATATATATATATACACACACATACACACACACACACACACACACACACACACACACACACACACACACACACACACACATGTTAAGGCTGGCCTTAAGCTTAAGACAGCCTGGATCTCTCAATCCTGCCTCTATCCCTGGGATACTGGAATTACAAGCATGAACTACCCTATCACATACAACTCTTTACTTATTTATTTTTCATTTATATCCACTCACCACACCTGGATTCTTATGATTTTAACAACAAATGAGTTTATTATTTTTCATTGTTAAGTAGTATTGCCTTGTTTGATAGACACTTGGTTTCTCCAGATTCTGGTAATTCTAATTATGTAGCAGGATTTAGAGGCTGGCATTGTGACTTATGCCCGCAGATGCCATATGGAAAACTATAAACAGGACAAGAGCTTGGCATCTCTGCCTTCCTTTTTGTATGTCTCCTCTGTTACCTTAAACTTTGGGTCAGATTCTTTCTCAGGTCTATACTTGTTGACTTGTTGACCACTTAAGAACAGCATATCTATAAAAACTAGTAATCCAGGTTTGCATAATGCTAAATTTAACCTGCTTCCTGGTGCCCTTCAAGACCGAAAGCAGACAGACTAGAGTAACTAAGATCTGTCAAGATCCTGGGACTCAAAGCCTTCCGTGCAGATTACCCTGTCTCACTGAGGCTACGCCAGTTGTCCTTGGACAGGAACGAGGCTGACCCCCTCAAAACAACCATTCTGTTACGGGAACTAAACTACCCAGCAAACTGCCTTCTCAAATGACTTTCCCCACAGATGGACCTTGAAGAACCAGACCTAAAATGAAGGTCAGCTAACCCCAGTGTGACCAAGGCTGCCTAACTATCAGTTCTTTTCTTTATTTTTAAACCATGTGTGCGTGTCTTCGTGTGCGTGCGCGTGTGCATGGGCGCACGCTTGCAGAGTCCAGAAGAGGGTGTTGGGTCTCCTGGGGCAGGAATTACAGGTGGATGTGAACTGCCCAATGTAGGTGCTGGTAACTGCACTCTGATCCTCCCTCTGTACAGCAGCAAGCACTCTTAACTGCTGAGCCATCTCTCCTGTCTCAACTGTGTCTTGTGGTGATAATTTATCTGTGTCCCCCAATAAAATTTATCTGAGGATCAGAGGATAAAGGTCAGCCACTATTAGTAAAAACAGAAGGCATGCAATGTTGGCACATGCCCTTAATCTGTCTGGATCTCTGTGTTCAAGGACACACTAGGGAACAGAGCCAAGCATGGTGACACACGCCTTTAATCCCAGTACCAACCATGGAGACCTGGAGGTCTGTACAGACAGGCACTGACAAGAAAGTGAGGTAGCTGGGTTAAGAGCCAATGAGAGGGCAGAACAGCAAGGCAATAAAGGCATGGGTAGACAGGAAGTAGCTGGTACTTTAGAAGCTGCCGCGTGGTGAGGTCAGGTTAGCTGGTGGCTCTTCCAGTTCCTCTGGTCTCTGTCAGATTTTCACCCCTATTTCTGGCTCCATGGTTTTTTATTTAATAAGACCACTTAGAAATTCGTCTACAGTGTCTACTCCATTATTACTTTGTTCCTTCCCCTAAATCATTTTGGAACCTTATTAGCCCCTAAAGGCAAGACTAGGACGGTAGTCTCCCTGTTGCTGGAGTGACCACACTGAGCTATTTCTTGTTTCACTATCCCCCACATCTCTGGTTGGACTCTCACAACAGACAGCAGAGTCTGGGACATCTCTGGTTGGACTCTCACAACAGACAGCAAAGTCTGGGACATCTCTGGTTGGACTCTCACGATAGACAGCAAAGCCTGGGACATCTCTGGTTGGACTCTCACGATAGACAGCAGAGCCTGGGACATCTCTGGTTGGACTCTCACAACAGACAGCAGAGCCTGGGACATCTCTGGTTGGACTCTCACAACAGACAGCAGAGCCTGGGATATCTCTGGTTGGACTCTCACAACAGACAGCAGAGCCTGGGACATCTCTGGTTGGACTCTCACAACAGACAGCAGAGCCTGGGCTGTTGACATCTCAAGCCAGGCCTCTGTCCGAGCGAGACCTTCAGTGACAAGCCTCTAAATGTCACCCAGTCATCACTGCTGCCGTTTTATTCCCATCTGTGGGTTGTTTGCTTTCATCTTCTCAAAAATGGGTTTCAAAGAGGAGCCCATCTGAATTTTGACCAGTGTATCTGTTTTCTCTTGTATTGTGCAGACTTTAAAATTTTTAGTGCGTGCCCCCACACTCACTCTTATCAAAGGTCAAAGGTCAACTTGCAGGAGTTACTTCTCTCCTTGTACCAAGTGGGCCTGCCAGTGGCCATGTCTGAGGAGCAGCAGATGGCAACTGACTTCAGGGGATGGAAACAAAACCCTGATGGGTGAGTCCCAGATAAGCAGAGCCCGAGAGCCTCGGCCCCAGAATGTTTTTTACTACTGCTGTGTCTTTGCCTGTTTGCCGCTGCCAATTTTCTCTAGTACCTGGCATGGTGTGAATGGGTGTGGGGAGATAGATCCCCACTGTCCTTAATGCAGCGTGATCATCTCTTGGAACTATCCCGTTCTCCTGGGCATTTTTACCTGGGGATTGTTATGAAGATGATTTCCTCCTAAGCTGTTCTGTTTAACTGAAGCAATGATTTTATACAATAATAGTGTTAGTTTAAATAGGATTTTGATGATTGAGGGTTTTTAATAAATATAGTAAGGGATTATGATAGAGGTTAGTTTAGTGGAAAAATTAACATAGGTAAAGGTAGGACAAAATGTTGCCCCTGCCTCTGATAAAGCAGAGGCTGCAGGGGATAAAAATAAAACAAGGAAGTGTCACAGAGCTAGAACACATGAGCTTCTATTGAGGAGCCATATAGACTGTGGCTTAGGTTAATGATTAAGAAAAACAGTTGAGTCCCAGTAGCCCAGCTAGCTTGAATTCTTTTAACCTTAGTGTTGGGACATGTGCTCACAGGTTTCGGGGTGCATCACAGCTGAAACAAAGCTCTGAAAATAACTTAAAGTTAGACTAAGGTGTTTTTTGTCAAATAGCTTTGAGGTGAAAAACCCAAGAAGACAATCTAAAGTTTTAGAAAGGCTCATAGCTGAGTGTGGGAATCGTTAGGACAGGGATCAAAAACAAAGCAGCCCAGTTATTATCAGCTGAAGTACCTTTTTTGCTAGGATCTATTGGTGACCAAAGGTGATGATTAATTCCTTGTGCCCATTTCTGACCTCAGCTTCCTGATATAAAAAATTGTTGATAAGTGAGTATACATCCTAAGGATTTAAAATAGAGCTGACTTAATGTTTTTCATATATAAAAGTTTATATTTGTGATTCTTCTAAGATTTCTTATAAGATTACCTTTTGAGATAAATAATAAAATGATTGGTCCCTTCTTTGTAACCACAAAATGCAGCCTACCAGCAAAAGAACTGGCTGAGAAAAAAACTTGCTTGCTCACACTCTGTTAATCTATAACAAGTTGCTTGGACATGGATGTATGTGGGTTCTTGGGACAACTTGTTTTTCACCTGTAACAGTAAAATGTCTATACATGTAAGGGAGATGGAAAACATACTGTTTTTTTTTTTTTACTGGTATTCACTGTAATCACTCACTTGAAAAATAAAATGTAACCACATTGTAGTTTTTATATTGCTTGAAAGATTTTGCTGGGGTATATAAGCTGTAAGGCAAAACATAAGAAAGTTAGAAAGAAAACATCAAGAATGAGAGAAGGTAATCACCAGGAAAGATGTAGAGAAAAAAAAGCAAAGAAGAATAAAGAAAAGGTCAGAAGGAAACCATTGAGAGAGTGTGTGTCTTTTCCCTCACCCCCTCAGATAAAAAAGTCTTAGTTCACCAGCTCCATGCACTGCTGGAGGCTGGTCCTCTTGGCAGCAGTGTGGGTCCCAGGCATGAAACTCAGGCCATCAGGCTTGGTAACAGGTACCTTTACCCACAGAGCCATCTTGCCAGCCAGTGCCCATACTTTTAACATACTTTTTATGCCCTGTATAAAAGGTCTTTGCTTACCCAAGAACCACAGATTTTTTTTTCTTCTAGCCCTCTTTTAGATTCTTATAGATTCGTGGTTTATATTGAGTTCCATAATTTATTTTGAATTAATAGAATAAAATATCTATACATTGCAAGGTGAAGAGCAAAAGTCATTTTCTCTTTCTTTTTTTCTTTTGTTTTGTTTTGTTTGTTTTTTTGAGACAGGGCTTTTCTGTGTAGCCCTGGCTGTCCTGGAACTCACTCTGTGGACCAGGCTGGCCTGGAATTATCAGAGATCCATCTGTCTCTGCCTCCCAAGTGCTGGGATTAAAGGCATGTGCCACCAACGCCAGGCACAAAAGACCATTTTTCTAACACTTTATTTTTTGTGATGCTAGGTATTGAACCAAGGTCCTCATGCACACTAGACAAGAGCTCCACTATACTGAGGTACACTCCTAGACCCTCAGCAGCATTTACTAAACTAAAAAACTATCTTTTCCCTCACTGGGTTACATTAATAGTTTCATTAAAATCGTCTGGCTGTATAGGTGTAGGCCTATTTCCAGATTGCTTGTTCTGCTCCACTGATCTATTATTTCTGCCCCAATGCCACAACAGCCCTGTATTGACCAGTGTTTCATTTTCAAGTCTTGAAACCTGTATGGTTTGCATTGGTCATTCTGCATCCTTTGATTTTTCCATACACATTTTTAAAGATTTATTTTATTTTTACTTGTGAGTGTGTATGCAGACATGTGTGCAGGTGCCCTTAGAGGCCAGATACTCTGGAACTAGAGTTACAGATGGTTCTGAGCAGCTGAACATGGGTGCTGGGAACCAAACTCAGGCCTTCTGCAAGAGCACCGAGCGCTCTTAACCACTGAGCCATCTCTCCAGGCCCTCCATATACACTTCATTTTTGTGTGTATGAGTAGATGTGTGTGTTTGGGTGTGTGCAGGTACATGTACACAAGTGTGAACACGCACATGGAGGCAGAGGTAATCCTTGGGTACTATTCCTCAGAAGCTGACCCCTTTGTATTTTTGAGACAGAGCCTCTCGGTGGATCTGGAGTTTGCCCGTTAGGCTGGCCTGGAGTAAGTAATCCCCGAGGTCTGCTGCTCTCTGGCTCTCCAGCAGTAGGATTACATGTGCTTACCACCACGCCTAGCTGGGGATTGAACTCAGGTCCTCGTGTTTGCATGTGCAGCAAGCACTTTACAAATCGAGTTATCACCAGAGCCCTCCATCTACATTTTAGAACAACATATCAATTCCAGGAAGACTGGGGCTTGAAAACATGTGAATGAATTTGCAGGCACAACACTACCACATTTCAAGACCAGAGAGACCATTTCAAGACTAGGACTGAGTGGCACTTTATTTCAGAGTATGTAGGAGGACACAGAGCTGAATGGAGTCAAGAAACAGCTGCTAAAGTACACTGTCAGTTGGTGGTATTACTTGATGTTGGAAAAAATGAATATCAACAATCATATTGTAACAATTTAACAAACACTAAAGGCATAGAAATTCATACTTTGATTTCTATCCTATGCCATGAACAAAAAATTCATTTGTTGATCATAGATATACATGTCAATGCTAAAACTAGAAACCTTTTTTCTAGGGGGAGAAAGAAGAAAATTCTTCACAACCTTCAGTTTAAAGCAAATCAAGTCATAACTCTAATACTCTTATCAGAGTACATGAAGAATAGTTTAAAAGTCAGCAATATAAAGTATCTGAATTAAAAATGACAAAAGACTTGAAAAGACAGTTCACAAAAGAGAACATACAAATGGTCAATCATAAGGGAAGCTGAAAAGTAGTTAAGGTAGCATGAGAAGAAAAAGGAGCACCTCGGCCCAGGATCTAGTTTGTGTTTCCTGCTGGCTGAGAGTAAAATGTCCTCAACACAAGGAAAATCAAGAGTGCAGAGACAATATTTGCTTTTCTTAGAGGAAAACAAGAGTGTTAAACAGTGTTAAATGCTACAAATGTGCTGTGCTTGCTCAGGGCCAAAACACAGGACATTTGAGTTCAATGTTGTCAACCATCTTCTTGCCATTAGGTCTGAACAGGGCAGGACACTTCAGAAATCCCCTTAGTTTTACTTATAAAAGTAAATCCCCTTCGTTTTACTTATAAAAGGAAATTCTTAAAGAGAAATAAGGAAATCTGCTCATACATTTTCTTAATTATTTTCAAATTTCACTTTATCTTTGAACATGGCTGCAAATTACATTCAATGAGAAATGTCACTTCACAAGATCAAAGATATTATACAGAGAGAATGGTCATAGGAGGGCACTTACGGTCCTCTCTCTCCTCTCCTCTCTCTCTCTCTCTCTCTCTTTCTCTCTCTTCTCCTCTCTCTCTCTCTCTCTCTCTCTCTCTCTCTCTCTCTCTCTCTCTCTCTCTATCCCCCCCCAGTCAGTAATCACCAAGCTAACTCTGGTATGACAAAGTCTGAGGTGAGAGCCCTGAACAGCTATAGTCAGGTCTGGCTCTCGCTCCACCACCGAGGAAGTCCTTTCGTAGGCCATTGTCATTCACCTGGCAGGCCGGTTTGCCTTCTAACTGGAATTCACGCACCTTCATCCCTGCCAGGCAGAGCGCAACTCAGGAGTAGTGTGACCAAGGATGGTGACTGGGGCACCAAGCCAGAACACTTGGAAGTCTCAGATCCCTGACACGTTTCACTGTGGCTCTCTCCAGGGCAAGGGATCCCAAACGGAATTTAAAGAAAGGACATTGGAAAGGGAAGGGAGAGGCTCAGAAGGAGGGTGGGATGAGACGCAGCAGTGGCCATGTCCGCGGGATGTCACGAGGTCAGCAAGCACAGTAGTGAGACCAGGAAGACCAGCGGACAGAAACAGGCGGCCTGGTTCACCACTGCAGTCAGCCACTTGCTGTAGTAGGCGGTATCTGTATAAACTCCAGGATGCCCTTGGCGACCACAGCCGATGCCCCAGCTCACGACTCCCACTTGCACCCATTTATTATTTAATTCACAGGACAAAGGGCCGCCAGAATCTCCCTGAAGAAAGAGAAAGAAACATATGGCAAGAATGGAATTGATTCCCTCTGGATTAGGCCAGTGGCACTGGAAGACGTAAGGAGACAGGCTCATGCAGGGTTTCCTCAGGCACCCCAAAGGCCCAGCCAAAGCCAAGTGCAGTGGCGTACACTTAGAGTATCTGCCCTAAGGAGGGTGAGGCAGGAGGATTTCGAGAGTTCAAGCCAACCTGGCTACATACCAAGACACTGTCTCAGAAGAGAGAGAGAGACAGAGAGAGAGAGGGGCATCCTTGCCAGGCCCAAGCTTCTATTAATACACAAATGCCAGAACTAGGTATATAAATATGGCCCCTGAGAAGTTAACAGGACAATGATAATATCATCTGATGTTATTATCACAATTTCTCAAGCCACAGTGGTGTTTATCACTGAATTCTACTTTTGAGGGGCTGGAGAGATAACCCCATGGTTAAGAACACTTGCTGCTTTTGCAGAGGACCCTGGGTTAGTTGAGAACACCCACACGGTGACCCACAATCACTTGTAACTCCAGTCCCAGGGGATCTTACGCCCTCTTCTGGCCTCTGCAGACACTGCATGCACATGGCGCATACACATACATGCAAGCGAAACACTCACACATGTAAAACAAAAACAAATCTTTTTTAAATCCCATTAACTATCACTTCTATGTAGTAGCTCCTAATTCCTTACATTTAACCTGAATTTCCTCTGAACACAGCACTCGGGAGGCAGAGGCAGGCGGATCTCTGTGAGTTCGAGGCCAGCCTGGTCTACAGAGCGAGTTCCAGGAAAGGCGCAAAACTACACAGAGAAACCCTGTCTCGAAAACAACAAAAGAAGAAGAAGAAGAAGAAGAAGAAGAAGAAGAAGAAGAAGAAGAAGAAGAAGAAGAAGAAGAAGAAGAAGAAGAAGAAGAAGAAGAAGAAGAAGAAGAGGAAGAAGAAGAAGCTCTTAATCTATAACAAAACTCTTCGACATTATAGAATCCATTCGTACGTATTCTCCCAAACCCGTGACAGAGATCCTATCAGTGAGAAACACATGGGCTTCCTCAGTGTCTCTTACCACCCCTAACCTAACATGAATTGAAAGTTTGACCTCAGACACTTTCCTCACTGAGTGGTTGCCCCAGACCCTGCTCAGAACTCGATGGCATTTCCTACAACCTGAAGACAGTCCTGGTATCATACATCCAAGGGCACCACTGAGCTAAAAGGACCATGTTCGCCCAGCCCCACTTCTCACGCCTCCCTTGGCCACCCCAGAAACTTGGCCACATATGATGCCCTATCCTACTGCTCCAGGTATTTGAAACACCAGCACCCCCAGCTCCTCCAGTGCTGGGGAGCACACCTAGGGTTTCTTGTCCAATGAGCATGGTCTTCACCTCCAATGTCTGACATGGAGACAAGGTCTCACTGTGTAACCAAGACTCACCTCAAACTCACTATGTATCCCATCTGGCCTTGAACTTTTGATCTTCCTACCTCAACCTTATGAGCGCTGAGATTACAGGCATATGCCACACACTTGGCCAACATAAGAAGTACACTCAGACCTAAGCAAATTGTCCCCTGTCTCTAAAAAAGATTTCACAAGAGGACCTTGAGTTCATGCCTTTGCATTTCACCTTCCACAGTGACGTGGAAGATATGATGTTATGTCACAAGGTTGTGATGCAGGTTAACTCAGTTATTACAGGTTGATGTTCCCTTTGTCATCTTAACTGTCACAGAGGATGTGGTAGTCTGAATGTAATTGGCTCCCCCAATCTCAAAGGGTGTGACACTATTAGAAGTTGTGGCTTTGTTGGCGTGGGTATGTTCTTGTTGGAGGAAGTGTGTGTCACTGTGGGGGCAGGCTTTGAGGTTTCCTATGCTCAGGATACTGCCCAGTGTCTCAGTCAACTTCCTGTTACTTGCAAGCCAAGCTCCCTGCCATGATGATAATGGACTGAACCTCTGAAACTGTAAGCGAGCCACCCCAATTAAATGTTCTCTTTATTTATTTATTTATTTATTTATTTATTTATTTGGTTTTTTCAAGACAGGGTTTCTCTGTGTAGCTTTGCACCTTTCCTGGTACTCGCTTTGGAGACCAGGCTGGCCTCGAACTCACAGAGATCCACCTGCCTCTGCCTCCTGAGTGCTGGGATTAAAGGCGTGTGCCACCACCGCCCGGCCTAAATGTTCTCTTTATAAGAGTTGCCATGGTCATGGTATCTGTTCACAGCAATAAAAACCCTGACTAAGACATAGGGGAACTCAATGTAAAACATTATTAGACTACCCATTCCCAACTTCAACATGTAAGCAAGAACCCTACGCAGCCACCTACACAGCAAGGTTACATCCTTTAGAAGGGACCAGAACAGCTGGACAAGGTGGTGTCTCCCTGTAATCTCAGTGCTTGGGAGGTTGATGCAAGTAGATCTCAAGTTTAAGGCCATTCTCTGCTACATAGAAAGATTGGGCAAGGTTAGCTTCAGGAGCTGTGGGGAGTGTGGCTTTCCCCATGAATTTTCTTGAGTCAAAGAGGTAGCAAATAACTCCAGCCTTGCCACCTGAGACTGAGGAAAGGGCTCATGAACTCACCTGGCAAGCATCCTTTCCTTTTTCTTTATAGCCACAGATCATCCCACTCTTGACTAGATCAAGAGAAGTTGATGTAACCTTCATCAGCATCCTATTACATTCCGAATAATGGATGATACTCTGGTCCACCTCCTGGAGAACTTCTGTTGGAACGTTTGGTGCTAATGAAGAAGATCAACAGTGTATTAGTCTTCACAACAGAGAGCAAGCACTCCAGCACCCAGGAATGCCCCTGGCACCCAGGAACGCCCCTGGACAAAGGCAGGGAAATGAATAGTGTCCCTATTTGACACTGGGGGAAACTGAGACTCAAAACTGTCACAGGGAGAGGACTGAGTAAGAGGCAAAACTGAGCAGGGTCCAATGGCACAGGTCAGTAAGCCCATGGGAGGTCAAGGCAGAAGGCTCTGAAGTGTAAGGCCTGCCTGAGCTACAGAGTGAGTTCAAGGCCACCATGGGCAACTTAGCTAGATTCTTTCTCAAAACAAAAAGCAGAAAGGACCGTGAAGACAGTACCAGAGCCCTCCCTGCCCTCCCTGGCACGTTTAGAGGCCTGGCTCCAATTCCCAGCACTTAAAAAAAGCAAAACTAAGACAGGGGAAGGAAGATGTTTCTGAAAGGGAGGCAAGGCCTCAGAGGCCTAAGAAATGAGAACCCACTGAGCACATTACTGAATGTCAGTAGTAATAGTGACAAGACATCCCACACATCTTTCTGTCTATGTTATTTTTTGTTTGTTGGTAAAACTGGGGTCTTTATGAAAATCAGGCTAGTCTCAAACTGTCCATACTTCTGCATGTAACACCATACCCAACCAACTTTCTTCACTCTCTAGAACATAATCACAGGCTCTCAGAGAGACAGAACCCTAAAGGTCACATGTGACTTCTTCTCATGTATAAGAACCATACCAACAGAGGCCTTCTGGCTCTCCTAATTCCTCTAGGCAGAAGGAACTCCCTAACTACCTAGACAGGTATCTCTATTGAGAAACTAGCAAGCATATCTCTTGAGCAAACATTCGCCCAAGGTGCTGGAGAGTGACAGCTAGCTCAGCAATTAAGAATTCTTTTTTTGTTTTGTTTTGGTTTTTTTGTTGTTGTTTGTTTTTTTGAGACAGGGTTTCTCTGTGTAGCCCTGGCTGTCCTGGAACTCACTCTGTAGACCAAACTGGCCTCAAACTCACAGAGATCCTCCTGCCTCTGCCTCCCAAATGCTGGGATTAAAGGCGTGCGCCACCACTGCCTGGCTAAGAGCACTTGTTCTTGTAGAGGACCTGGGTTCAGCTCCCTCAGCACCCACATGGAGGCTCACAACAACCTATAACTCCAGTTCCAGAGGATCTGACACCCTCTTTTGGCCTCTGTGGGCACCAGGCAGGCATTTGCTGCACAGACATACATACAGGCAAAACACTCATGCACTTAAAATAAATCTGAAAATCCACCCAGGAGAACTGCATTGCATCTAGCCTTTGTCCACAGAGAGTGCAACACCCACAATCACTCAGCACATGTCTCCACAAAACTGCAAAAGCAGATTTGACATAATTCTGGTTCCCAGGAGAGGTACATTTCTTTGGCTGTCATCAGATATTTGTGCTGGTTGCCGTGAAGGACCTCATCACAAGACCAGGATCACCTAAGCTCACCAAACTGCCCACCAGCCTGTGCCACGTAGTCCGCCTTCCTTTTTTGTCCCGCCCACTATCCTTTGTGTCTCCTTTAGGAATAAGGCCGTGCTTCCTCCTGAGCACCAGATCTTACCACCTGGATCTGGTTTACCCCATCCTGTCACCCAGCACTTGGTCCCAGCATTCACAAAAAAAGTCTCTGAAGGGATGCAGACAGGGTAAATATTAGAGGTGAAATTCACGGGGTGTTGGAGCTTGAGAAGGGCGATATCATTTTTAACGACAATAGCTGATGAGAACTGGGGGTGGACAATGATGCGCTGGATAGGAATCACCAGACTTGTGTTTTGGCGGTGGATACTCCGATCGCCCATCTTGACATTGTACTGGATTCGGCTGTGGGAAAGAAGACACGTGGCCTCAGTAGTCATGACCCTACAAAGCTCCCTTGTACCCTTTCCACTCGTGTTCTGTTTCTCAACATGGCCCCAACCTCTTTGGCCACTCTCAAACGTTCTGTCTCTACCACCAAAACCCCTTATTGATCCCACAGCTGTTTCACCTGTGCCCCGCCCTAAGTATTTCTAGTAACAAGGTGGTCATAGCATGACACCCTTTTTGTGTGTCTTGGTTTGGGGATGTCGCCGGTTTATCAGAGAGGTAGATTAGGACAGCAGGGTCCCCTCCGGAACACTCACCTCTCTGCTTTTGGCTCCTCACCTGAAAATACAGTGGGCGGCGGTCAGCACCCACTCGGCGCTGATGAGGGAAGCTCCGCAGACGTGCATGTGTCTGACCCTGAGGCTCACCTGCCAGGGCCACTTTCCCTCTTCCGCGTCCATTCCTCCCATGATCTTCGTCAGGCGTTGCCCGCACCCTGAATGAGGACAATTTGGGAAGAACTCAGAAGAGTTAAGTGTTCGGGGGCTGGAGGTTAAGAGCACTGGCTGCTCTTCCAGAGGCCCTGAGTTCAATTCCCAGCAACCACATGGTGACTCACAACCATCCCTAATGAGATCTGGTGCCCTCTTCTGGCCTGCAGGGATACATGCAAACAGAACACTGTATACATAATAAATAAATAAATAAATAAATAAATCTTTGGAGGGAAAAAAAAAAAGAATTAAGTGTTCATGCCAGCGCTTCCACAGGAAGCACCAACAGGACCCAATGACAGCCAAGAAGGAGGCTATGCATGTCCTGCTGAACATCAGGGACACTTCATACCCTCAGTGCTCCGGTGTCACCCCACCCTCACCCCCACCCCCACGGCAGTCACATTCTCCACAGTCAAGGCAACCAGACTCCTACCCAACAGTGGCCTGGGCTTCACTCGTGTCCCTCGGATTCAGCCTGTCACTAGCTCCCACTCTGAGCCTTGACAGTCCCCCCCGCCACTCCTCACAGACACCCCTTCACAAGTTACCCAAGGCAAACGGTTTGAAAGCAGAGGTTTGGCCCTGACGGGCCGCCTTGGTCACCAGCACCTGCGTGGGTGGCGGTGGGTTCACCCTTGGGGTCTCACTGTGCCCTGCGGAGAAATCGGAAGTAGAAGACACAGTGGCAGCCTCCCAAGCCTCGCAGAGCTCCGACTGAAGCAGCAAGAGGCAGGTTACGAGGCCCAGGGAGCCCCCTCCGGACGCCATGCCACCACGGAGGCCACCGCCCCTCTCCCGAAGTGGCACCCGCTCCCCAGGCTCGCGTGGCCGCCCTCGGTTCTGTAGGAGAAACGGGCTCCTCGAAGGGAGGTGCCAGCGTGTCAGAGGCATCCAGGGAGGGTCATGGCTTCCTGGGTGGGAAATGTGCCCTACGTTCAGATCTTCACGCCACACTGTGCACACCCAGAGTCCTGCCTGGGACAGAGGGGACAAAGGTCTTTGATGGAGAACTCCTACTCCAGGACCCGCACTTCCTGCAGAGCCTGGTGTGGAACTGGTAAGGATGGGACTCTGGGAATAAGAGGGGGAGCCCTCCGTCTCCAAAAAGACACCTCAAACCGAGATTCATTCACCATACCTAGACGTGTAGGATATTCTCAGTCATAGGACAAGATGAAACAAAACTGTCCAGGTCTGGAGAGATGGCTCAATGCTTAAGAGCACTCGATGCTCTTGCAGAGGACCGGAATTCAATTACCAGCACCCACATGACGACTCACATCATTCCTAACTCCTGTTCCAGAGGATCCAGCGCCCTCTTCTGGCGTCTGTGGGCTCTAGGCACGCACATACATACATACAGGCATACACTCAGATACATAAAATAAAAAAATAATTATTTTTAAATTAGCCACCACCAAAGATACCTGCCAGTCAATCCTTTCTTGCTACTCTATGTCCCCGATGTCTTCTGTGGTAACTCATGATTTTCTCTTTGTTGCCCAGATGCTCACAAGGTCTCTTCCTCTGTGAGCATCATCACCCCTGCAGAAGAGGGGGAATGGAGGGATTATCTGTGCTTCTCACGTTTCTCCAATGGAAGGAGGAGAGCCATTGGATTTTTCAAGGTTGATGGTACTCCACTTCCCTCATCGAGTTATTTTTCAATGTCTTGGGAAAGGGGTACATTCTTAAGATATTCTTTTGGTCATAGGAGGAGTGGGCAAGCAGGTCATACCTCATGAATATATGCCAATAATTGCACCCCTACCCACCAAAAAAATCCTCTACATTCAATTTTTTCCCCTTTGAGATAGGGTCTTATGTATGCAGAGAAGCCTCTTTGCTGTGGAATAATCCTTCTCTACACTGTGAAGATGTGTTAATCTCATTGTTAAAAAAGCTGATTGACAGCTAGGCAGGATTTTGTGGGCAGAGAGAACACTGGGAAGGAGGGTGTAGTCAGGGGGGATGCCATGAGACATGGAGCAAGCAGGATAGGAAGTACATACATGAGGTAAATGAGCCTTGGGGTGTAGGCAGATGTTATTCCAGTCCCGCCTGGCCCCACAGTCCAGACAGATATCCCCCACCGCGGTCCTACAGTCAGTCGCTTATAAAATAATCACACAGAGGCTTAATATTCATTACAAACTGTATGGCCTACGGCTTCAGCTTCTTGCTAGCTAGCTCTTTCATCTTAAATTAAACCATTTCTATAAATCTATACGTTGCTACATGGCCATGGCATTACCAGTCTGCTGAAATCTTGTTGATCCTTCAGCAGTGGGCTTGAGTCTCTCTTGACTCGGCCCTTCTCTCTGTATCTCTGCTTGGATTTCCTGTCTGGATGTAAGCCTTCTTGTCATAGGCCAAAACAGCTTTATTATCCAATGGGAGCCACACATATTCACAGCATACAGAAAGACATCCCACAGCATAGGGGCAGCACATATATTAATAGAAATGGGTTGATTTAAGCTATAAGAGCTAGCTAAAAACAAGCCTAAGCTATCTGCCTATCATTTATAATTAATATTAAGTCTCTGTGTGGTTATCTGGGGAGCAGCTGGCAGGATAGAGCTGATCAGTGGTCTAGACAGAAAACTCTGTCTACACCTCTTGACTTTCTATATAACCAAAAATGACCTAGACCTTCATATCCTCCTGCCTCCACTTCCCAAGTCCAGAGACTACAGGCATGTACCACCACACCAAGTTTTATGCAGGGAGACAAAAACAAACACTGGGCTTCATACATGCTAGACAAGCACTCTTACCAACTGATCTACAACGCCAGCCCAGTAAGGAACTTCTGACACTTTGTGTTTGGTGCCCAAGTGAGAGCTACTGTTCAGCTTAGGTTTAAAACAACTAGGAAAGCGTGAACCCACAAACCGAGTTTCTGCTAGGCATACTCCTAATTTGGGCTCAAGCACAGCTAACCAATAGTGCTTAAAACCCATGTAAACTCTCTTTGTAAGGGAGTTTTCCCCTCCTGCCTTATACTTTGCACCTGTCCTGCAGCATGCTGGGAGCTGACGTAGTCACTGGGTCCAGCGACAGTGAGGACTGAAGTGATACAGGTACAGAACTGTCGTTCTTCGTAACGCACCTTCTTCAAGTAAAGCTAAAGAAGGCAAGAGCTGACAAACGAGTCAGTGAGGCTGACTGCTTCCGTCAGCACGGAAGGTTCAGTGTGGCTACGCGGCCAGATGCGCCCCATTTAAATTGTCCTCACTTTTCCCCCACCAAGGCCTTGACTTTCATGTAAGAATTATCATAAAGCTGTTAATCTGTGTCGAAACTGAAGCAGCCACGATTAAACACTGTATCTTATTTCAAGTACATCCATGGCACAGTTGTAAGAAACATGAAAATACCTCAGAACCTTTTAATCGTAAGGTTAAAAATCATAGAACCTTTTAACCCAAGAGATTAAGATTAGAGATTCCCAGTCAGTCAAATAGCTTAGAGGGTGGAGGTATTTGCTGTGCAAATCCTACCACCTGTAATCCCAGAACCCACACTAGAAGGAAACACACACTCCAAAGAGCTTGCCTGTGAATTCCACACATACTCCTGTATACACACACACACACACACACACACACACACACACACACACACACGCATGCACGCACGCACATGTATGTGTATGTACTGAGGTTGAATCTAATGCCTCATGTGTGCTAGGCCAGTGCTCTCCTCTGCCGAGCTATATATATACCCTGTATCTCTGGCCCAGTGAATTGTCTTAATATATAAAAGACAGAGTGTGACCTACTGCAAGACTCCAGAACTCCTAGGAGCTACAGATCCAAAGTAAATCTGCACCTTTTCCTAGGCCTTTTTTCATAAATTGCCATCAAGTGTTTATGAGAAAGATTAGAGGCAGGCAAAGGCCCAAAGAAAGCCTTGCTTACGATGTGGTTTAGGGGAGGCGAGCAAAAGTCAACCACTGCGAAAGGAATGAAATCAGTCTGAGCCTTCTGCTGCCTTCCTCATCCCCTGCCCCGAGAGAGCCGTGTGCTAAGAGGAAGGAGGGTCAAAAACTGACCCTGCGGATGTGGGTCAGCGTATATGGTAGTTGATGACCGTATCTAACACAGGACAACCTATGCTAGGAGGAGACCCCATCCTGCTCTGTCCCAAACATGTCCCCGCTTAAAGGGGATGGCTCTTAGAAGCACACACACACACACACACACACACACACCCTAGCAAGTGTCCAGGAACAAATAATAGCAATCTGCTGCTGGCAGAGCAGCTTACAGAGTGATTGTAGAGAAACAATCCCTCAGACGCATGGGCACAAAGAGAAAGCCAGTCACTGAAAAGGAAGCAGACACACACACACACACACACACACACACACACACACACACACACCTCGAAGCTCTTCACCCACCAACATCATCATCATCATCATCATCATCATCATCATCATCATAAAATTAGAAGAATTTGAAACCTGTACTTAGGAGAGTAACCATGGCAACCACAGTCTCACTTGATCTTCTCAATGCTTTCCACTACAGAAAAGGCGTACTCAAAGCTGGGAGTGCAGTTCAGGGGTGAAGCACTGGATTCCCATGTGTAAGACCCTGGCACCAAAGCAGAGGGAGGGAGGGAGGGAAGGAGGGAGGGTGGAGGGAGGGAAGGAGGGAGGGAGGGAAGAGCTAACTGACTGGAGGTGCCTAGTGTTCATCACACACATACAAAAACCAAAAAGGAGCCGGGTGGTGGTGGCGCACGCCTTTAATCCCAGCACTCGGGAGGCAGAGCCAGGCGGATCTCTGTGAGTTCGAGGCCAGCCTGGGCTACCAAGTGAGTTCCAGGAAAGGCTCAAAGCTACACAGAGAAACCCTGTCTCGAAAAACCAAAAAAAAAAAAAAAAAAAAAAAACAAAAAGGAACCAAAACAACGAGTAAATAACTGTATCTCAAGCACAGTAGCACACACCTTTAATCCCAGCACTCGGGAAGCAGAGGCAGGCGGATCTCTGTGAGTTCGAGGCCAGCCTGGTCTACATATTGAGTTCCAGGACAGCCAGAGCTACAGAGTGAGACCTGTCTCGAAAGCAAAAGAAATAATAACAAAAAGAAAAATATTGTCTTTCTTTTAAAAATGTTTTCGTTAGCATAGAGAAGAATTGATTTCATTTACTCTGATATTTCCATGCACGTGTAGCATTGTGCTTTGCTCTTGTTACCACACTGCCCCCCTGCATCCCTCTTCCTGCTTCTTGCTGATCTCCTTCTAACCCCCTCATCCTCTAACCCCCTCATCCTCTAACCCCCTCGTCCAATAGCCACTCTTTTGCTTTCGTGTCCTCTGTGTAAATCTGTTTAAATCAAGATTCGGCCTAAAGGAGAAAACATGGTGATTTGTCTTTCTTCCCTCCGTTACCCTCTTTCTTTCTTTCTTTTTTTTAGTTGTTGTTGTTTGGTTTGTTGTTGTTTTTGTTTGTTTGTTTGTTTGTTTGCTTTCTTTTTGAGACAGAGTCTCTCTATGTAACCTTGGTTGTCCTGGAACTCACTCTGTAGACCAGGCTGGCCTCAAACTCATAGAAATCTGCCTGCCTCTGCCTCCCAAGTGCTGGTATTAAAGACGAGACCACCATGGCGAGCAGAATGTCCTCTGGACATCAGAGTCACTGGTAGGGAGCATTCTACTCCACAATCCACTCACACCCCATTTCTCCGTCTGTGAGATGCTCCCATCACTGCACCATGCTCATGTAAGTTACAGTGTCCTGACCCTGG